AAGACAGCTTTTGGGTTAGGGATGGGAGCTTGTGTCCAAATCCCTGTGCATGCTGCTACAGTCTCTGAGTTCGTATGTGCACCAGCCCTGTGTGCAGAAGGCCTTGTTTCCTTGGTGTCTTCCACCCCCACTGGCTCTTACAGTCTTACCACCTCTTCTCCCACAAGTTCCTGAAGGGCATGAAGCCCATGGAAATGTCTGGCAGTGTTTGGGTGACACTCACCCCCTATGCCACCATCTTGGGGATGTAAGTGCTCTTCCTTCCCCTCTTGTTTAAGGTTAGAAGTTCCTCAAGGGCAGGACTGTGTCCAGTGCTCATCTCTGGTTCAAGTCATCTCTCTCTACATTTTACCCATGATTGAAAGATGTGGACTAACTTCATGGAGGCAATTAAAGGGCAAGTGTGATTTATGGTTCCTGGGGGCACTTGAAGGGGGGCACATAGGTAGAGAGAGACTCGTTGAGAGCCCTGGGGGTAGGGAGGGGTTGTATGATGTTTGCGAATTGAGGGATAAGGCACCAAAATGTGCTGAAATGAGGAAAAAGGTAGAACACTACTGAAGCTTTTTCACATTCCTGTTAAGGCCCTGTGGCCTTTCCTGACAGGCTTCCTCATCCAGTCCCCACTGGCCCCGTTTGAGCCACTCTGAGTTTCTTTAATTGCAAGCCTGGGAGTTCCAATTGCAGGACTGGAGTTTGTGGGCCCCCTAGGGAAAGACGGGCTTCAGGGTCCTTGCTCAACATTTGTCTTAAGTACCTGTGTGGGCAGTGGGGGATAATTCAGTGACTCGTGTGAGAGGTGGGTGCTTTGTGTGGAAATGGGGCAGGCATGAGTGGGTAAACTACAGTATCTGTAGGCTGACTCTGGCACTTCTGCCCACCATCTCCTAGACTAAGTCTTCCTTCTCTTTTTCTGTTTTTGCTGGGAAGAGGCAGTTGTCTATCGGAGCCCTACTATCTGAATTAGAGTGGTACAGAACCTGAGGGTTGATGGGGAGGGAACTGAGGAAGGAGATCAGCGCTAAGGGCATAGCGCTTCCTTATCCTCTCTCCACCAGTAAACGCAACAGAAGAGTAGGGAAACACATTTGAAGGGCATTTCTGCCAATGGCTTTTTTTCCCACAGGGGACCCACTAGAAGGTGAGCAAGGGTCATTCCCTTTAACACACTTCCTCTCATCCTGGCAGCTCTTATTACTGGCTATTGATTGACTCCTTCATTACAGTGTGTTGGTCAGTATTTCTTAGGCTTTCGGTTGTCTGGTACTATTAGAGTGATTGTTTTTCTTTTCTTTTTAAAAAAGATTTATTTATTTATTTATTGTATGTGTATGGATGCCTTACCTGCGTGTGTGTATGTGTACCCATATGTGTGCCTGGTTCTCACAGAGGTCAGAAAAGTCAGAACTGGAGGTAGGGATGGTTGTGAGCTGCCATGTGGGTGTGGGATCTGAACCTGGGTCCTCTGGAAGAGCAGTCCCTCTTAGCCCCTCTTAGCCCCTGAACCATCTTTCCATCCCCCTTATTTTCTCCTTTTTAAAGGGGAACAGTCACTTTTTAGTGAAATGTCTCCCCCCTTGTTCTCAAATAACCTTGTAAAGACGAGGTGGCTTCTTTTTGTGTTGCTATTTCTAGGAAGGAAAAAGGAAATCATTGCCCAAGAAATCATATCTTAAAAGGCTGGTCTTAGGAGGAAAAGATCATGCAAAATTCTAGGGGCAAAAATCCCACGTTGTTTCACATAACAAATAGTCACCCAAGTGTTTGCTGGCCTCATAATACATATGCCAACACTGTCACAGGAGTCCGGGGTTCTCCTTAAGAGCTGAAGTCATATTTGGAAACACAGGTTGTAGCCAGGAAACAGGAGACAAACTGTGCAGACAGAATACAGCAGGCCCTGAGGTTTCGCCTGCTGTGAAAATCCACCGCAGGAAAGTGATGAAGGACGGAGGAAGGATTTCAGTTCTCCATGTTCAGGGTAGCGTTGCAGAGAAGGGGAAAAGGAGAGTGAACAAGCAGAGCTTCTCCGTGAGGAGGGAAGAACAAGCGTCTTCAAAGACTTTGTGCCTGGGGCGAGCCCATGGTGTGGGAGAAACTGCAGGGAGGGTGAGTCAAAGGGATTCCAGGAGTTCAGAAGGAAAAGTCTGAATGGCGATGGGACGGGGGGTGGGGGGGACCATCAGAGAACATCTTATTTTTCTTTTGGAAGCGCTTTGGTTTTTGTTCTTTCAGGATTATGCTTCTTTCGGCTTCATGTGTCTATACACTGGGGTGGGAGTCAAGTGCAGACTGGGAGGCCAGTCATGTAGAAGGCCATTGGTATCATCTGAGGACAGTGTTCATGGTGCGACTGGGTGGGAGCTAGCATGTAAGAAGTATTTAGGAGGTCTGATCAGATAAGGAGTAGGTGGCTTCTGATGTTTGTGACATGTGCCTGGAGAAGGAAAGGAATCAAAGATGTCTGTAGTGAGATGACTTGGGCAAGTCGACTGATCAACTAACAACTGAGCTGGGAGGGAGGTAGAGAAGACAGATTTTTCTGGAGAAGACTAACAATGGATTTACTTGTCCTCCTTAGGGAAGACTGGCCCGCTGAATTCAAGGAAACCGTCTAGGATGGGGAAAGAAATGTTGTTTGTCAGTTTATAGTATAAGAGCTAGAGTAGGGAGTGTATGTGACAGAAAGTCCCCATTTCCTATCAGTAGGATGGAGTTTTCTCAGTACACAAGGGGAACCTCTTCTGTGAGCAGTAGAGACCTGAGTTATTTTGCCTGGTTAATCTTAAGACTGATATAGCTAAGAAGGTACTTTAAGGCCAGAGAGACGGTAATTCCCTTTAAGGTTATGGGGACAGTGATTCACTCCTATAGAAAACTCCATTCCTGGATATCATTGTTTGGAAGAATACCTGAACCCATATTCTGGCACATCAGACATGTTCTGTTCTGTGGAGAAATGAACGATCACTGGTCTGATGTAGCCCATCCTAATTTAGGGAATTATCCCAGGTCTTTCTACACAAAGAGCCCAATGTCCTCGGCAACCGCTTCACTTCCCTTTGCAATGTGGTAGGTAGACATGAGTAAACCCGCACAGAAACGTCTTAGAGGCGCAACTGCCATCCGTTTGTGAAGAATCTTCTAATATTTTATAACTAGCTGGAGCTATTTCCTGTGTTATCATTCATTTTCTCACCAAGAAAGAAATCACGTCACAAATTGCTGTGCTCAGGTCAGAAACAAACTCCCTGAAATCAAAGGAGGGGCCTTTCTGCTTTCAGAACTTGGAACTTTCAGTCATGGATTTCATCTGAATTATCTTATTCAGCCATCCATATTCATTGAGGTCAAGCTATGAACTAAATGGCTTCTCTAAGGGCTTCCCAGATGCCACTGGGAATAATAGATGGTGTTTATATTCCAGTGAGACAATGCAGGCATTAAAACGGGGAGGGGGGAGCATATATGCAGCCAAATGAGGTGAGTAATGAAAACTGGATCAGGGAAAGGCATTGATAATGTAAAATACTTAGATTTTAATTTGACTTTTCATCTCTAGGGAAGTTGGCATTTGAGTCAAGTTAGAGGCAAGTTAGAGCTAGGGATCTGGGCAAAAGGCCTGCCTCAGAGATAAGTTCTAAAAAGTGAGAGACCAAAGACACAGATGTATTCAGTTTGAGGAAATCAAGGAAGCACTATGAACGTTAGGGAACGGTATAAACTCCAAGGCGTTAGTGGGTACAGATGCATGAGCGCACACTCATGTGTGTGTACATGCACACTTGCATAGAAGGACTTGTTTGTCTATAAGAATTCGATTTGTCTTCGACTAGACTGGGAAGACACTGATGTACTTTCAGCAGGAGTTTTTTAATCACCTCATACATTAGTAGAATCATGGGAACTACTGTGGAAACCACAGAACTCAACGGCTTTAGTAACAGAGCTGAGGAACCATGAAGAAAGGCACAAGGAATTATCAGGATGAAACATGGTAATTGCTGTGTGCATGTGAGGGATAGTTAGATTCTGAGAAGCCTTGGCTCTAGAACCAAGAGGTTTTCAGACGGCTTGAATCTTGATTGACAGAAATATTGGAATAAAAAGGATTCCAAGACCTTTGGCCTGAGTAAAATGAAGATTCAGGAAGAAGCAGCCAGGCATGTATTATATGAATTACATGAATCACACACCTGTAATTCAGCACTAGGAAAGCTGAAATAGAAAGATTACCTTGAGGTCAAGGCTAACCCAGGCTACATAGTGGTTCCCTGGCTACCATGGGGTTAGGACAAGACCCTATTTCAAAAACAAACAAATGCCAGAACATCCCAATAATTTATTATTTATTGTATACATAATGTGTGTGTGTGTGTGTATGTGTAAGAGAGAGAGAGAGAGAGAGAGAGAGAGAATGTCTACACGCATGTATGCTGCATGTGTGTGGATTCCCTCAGAGGCTAGAGTAGGACATTGGATCCCCTGGAGTCAGAGTTACAGGCAGTTGTGAGTTGTCTCAGGCAGGTTCTTGAAACTGAACTCACATCCTCTGCAAGAGCCACAAATGGTCTTAGCCACTGAGTTATTTCTCCAGGCTCCCATCCATAGGTCTTTATTATCTTCCCTTATAATTTATTAGTTCTCTTTTGCACAGGAAATAGTCTGAGTGGTGTTAAAGTATGACTCCATCTATTTAAAATCAGTGATGAATAGTAAAGCCAAGATATTGCTGGCTGGAGAAGGATTGTCAAAGCTTGGGTGACTCATAAAAACAAATTCTATTGTTCTTGGTATAACGTATACAAATATAGACTTGTAATGTACTTCTGTGAACTAGCAGAGTTGTGGCAGATAAAAGGCCATGGTTCTGTATGTTGCAAAGCAACTATCATTAAATTTTGATGAATTGCAAAAGCTGTATCTGACTGAAGAAGAACTCGGAATCAAAGTCATACCCACCCCATCTCAGAACTTCGCTGTGTCTGTTTTCAGGTGGCTGAATCACTGAGCCATGGGAATATGGCCGAATGCATCATCTATAGATGGGTTCATCCTCTTGGGCATCTTCTCCCACAGCCAGACTGACCTGGTCCTCTTCTCTGCAGTTATGGTGGTCTTCACAGTGGCGCTCTGTGGGAACGCTCTCCTCATCCTCCTCATCTACACTGACTCCCGGCTTCACACTCCCATGTACTTCTTCCTCAGTCAGCTCTCCCTCATGGACCTCATGTTGATCTGCAACATTGTGCCAAAGATGGCAGCCAACTTCCTGTCTGGCAGGAAGTCCATCTCCTTTGTGGGTTGTGGCATACAAATTGGATTTTTTGTCTCTCTTGTGGGATCTGAGGGGCTCTTGTTGGGACTCATGGCTTATGATCGCTATGTGGCCATTAGCCACCCACTTCACTACCCCGTTCTCATGAGTCAAAGGGTCTGTCTCCAGATTGCTGGGAGTTCCTGGGCTTTCGGGACCCTTGACGGAATAATTCAGATGGTGGCAGCCATGAGCATGCCCTACTGTGGCTCAAGATACATCGATCACTTCTTCTGCGAGGTGCCGGCTTTACTGAAGCTGGCCTGTACAGACACATCCCTCTTTGACACCCTGCTCTTTGCTTGCTGTGTCTTCATGCTGCTCCTCCCCTTCTCCATCATTGTGGCTTCCTATGCTCGCATCTTGGGGGCTGTGCTCCGCATGCACTCTGCTCAGTCCCGAAAAAAGGCTCTGGCCACCTGTTCCTCTCACCTGACTGCTGTCTCTCTCTTCTACGGGGCAGCCATGTTCATCTACCTGAGGCCAAGGCGATACCGGGCTCCTAGCCATGACAAAGTTGTCTCAATCTTCTACACAGTTCTTACTCCTATGCTCAACCCCCTCATTTATAGCTTGAGGAACAGGGAGGTGATGGGGGCACTGCGTAAAGGGCTGGACCGCTGCAAGGTCGGCAGCAAGCGTTGAAAAGCTCTGGTCCAGGGCCTGGCTGTGTTTCCCGCTATTTGCATAGCATTGGTAAGTCATTTTTGTTTGTGAATCTCTGTTTCCTTCTAGATGAAGGAGAGTCATGACACTGCCCCTTTCACAGGAGTTTTATGGGGACCCCTTTCTATGAGTTTAAAACCTCACAAGGGAGCCCTGCTTCACTATTGTTCTTATCAGTTGTACATAACATCCTTCAATAAAATTTACTCTATTTCTTAATTATTCTTGGCAATAGTTGTCTTTTATTGAGTGCTTGCTAAGGGCTGGAAATTGTCTTATTCCATTTTGTCTTATTTAATAGGCAATTCGGGAATTTTCCAGATGTCAGGAACTGAGGTTTCTATAACACTTGAATAGCCTTAGCTTTCTCTGTGTTCTATTAGAGGCTTTAAAAACTGCCCTTTAAATTTTTGTTTGGGGTCCAGTGAGACCGGTCAGCAGGTAAAGGCTTCTTTCACTAGGCCTGACATCTAAATTTGATCCCAAGACCCTCATGGTGGAAGGGCAGAGCCAAGTCCTGCAGGTTGTCCTCTGACCTTCATATGCATTCCAGGGTACACATGTATTTAACATGCATACACAGAAAAAATAAATGCAATTTTACAAAAACATGAATGGGTGTGTCTTTTAAAATGTGGGACATATGCTTATTTGAGTCCTTTGCCTGTTTTTAAAATGAGTTTTTTATGAGTTGCTGTTGTTCTTTGTATGCTACAGAGACTGTGACCTTACCAGGCATGCAAGGTACAGATATGTCTCCCACTCCCCAGGCTGCCTTTTTACTTTTTGATAGTAATACTGGTTCACAACAGTTTTTAGGACTTTTATAAAGTCCAATTTATTTATTTATTTTTTTTGCTGCTTGCGGCTTTGGCATCATAACTGAGACTGTCTAATTGTCAAATTTAAGATCTTAAATATTAGCATCCATTTTATTGCTTCCACTCTTATAGTTAGTTTATTAATCCATATTCTGTTCAGTTCATTGTAGCTTATCATGCAATACAGAGGTCCAGCTTCATCCCCTTATCCATGTAGATGGTATCCAATTGTTCTAATGTTTTCTGAAAATACAGACTTCTTCCTTCACTGAATGACGTTAGCATCCTTGCCAACAGTCAGTGTGTCATAAATATGTGGGTTTATTTAGAAGTTCACTTCCTGTTTTCTTTCTGTTTATCTCTATGCCAGTACTCTACATAGTTTTGATTACTGTTTTACCACTGTTTTATAATCAACTTTGAAATTAGAACTGTGACTCCCCAGCTTCCTTCTTTCCTTCCTCCTTCCTCCTTCTTCCTTCCTTCCTTCCTTTCTGTCTTTCTGTCTTTTTGGTTTTTCAAGACAGGGATTCTCTGTAGCTTTGAGGCCTGTCCTAGAACTAGCTCTTATAGACCAGGCTGGCCTCGAACTCACAGAGCTCTGACTGCCTCTGCTTCCTGAGCATTGGAATTAAAGGTACACACCACCACAACCTGACCTCCAACTTTGATCTTATTCAGTATTGTTTTTATTGAGCTTCTGAAGCTTTCCATAAATTTAAGAATTGACTTCTCCATTTAAAATTTTTTGAAAGCAATTGCATTGGACTTGACGAAACTACACTTTGAGCAGTAGTACACAAAGTGTTGATTTGTCTTTTTATCAACATCAGATCTCTCAATCTGTAAATACTGGGAATCTCTTTGTGTAGTGAAATGGTGTCTGTCTAATTGGACTATGATCTGCTCAACAGGACAGCATTCGTGTCTTGACCACAAAATTAATCAGTTAACTGTGGGAAAGCTCACAGACTCAAGAGGAGAACCTTCTACTGCTGGTTTTTTTTTAACCAATATAACTTTTTTTTGAGAAAAGGTCTTACTATGCTGCCCCTGACTGCCTGATACTCACCATATAAACAAAGCTGATCTCAAAGTCCCAGAGATCTGTCTGCCTTTGCCTCCTGGGTATTGGGATTAAAGGCATGTGCCACCATGCCCAGCCCTCAACATAACTTCTAACCACATTCAAATACTTATCCTTAGGTCCTCAAATGGGTGTAGCTCTTGTTTCTCATCAAGGACGCTTCCTTCTTACAGCAAATGAAGGATATTGTGGAGGTCCATAACTGGTCAAAATGCAGAGAAGTGACTGTGGATGCCCAGCCCCACGCAGTCTACAAGGCAACCCCTACACCTGACACTCAGGAAAAGTCAAGGAAGAGGGAGAGGATGGACTGAAAGAGCTAGAGAATCAGGATTCCTGCTGCAAGATAGTGGTGTCTTCTATTCACTATGGAGAACTTTGTTATCTAAACAAGGCCTGCATGGTGTCAATGCCCGACAGTCAATGGCTGATGAGACTAGGGGATAATTCTTTTTCAGGAGTGAGCTCCCTGATAGGTTAGTTACTCAATTCCAAGTATCAGTTCTAAACACACACATATATAGGCATATCACTAAATGGATTTTGCAGGATGCATATATATATATATATGTATATGTATAAACATGTAGCAATAGTAATTCAAGAAAAAAGGATCATGAATTTTAGAAGGAATGGGGGGATATGGGAGCAGTTTGAGAGCTGATAGAGAGGAGTAGAAATTAAGTAAATGTAGTAGTCATACATGAAATTAAAGAATAAAAAATTTAAATGAGAAAAATCATACACCATGACCAAGTTGATTTCATCCCACAGATGCAATATTGGTTCAACATGAGCAAATCAGTAAATGTAATACAACATGGAAATAGAATTAAGGAAAGTAATCAACAGTTGTCCCAAGAGACACAGAAAAAGGTCTTTGACAAAGTTAAATATTCTTTCATAATCTAATCTCTGAAGTCACAAGGAGGAGCAGAAACACGCTTCTATGTAATAAAAGCTTTATTAAACACACTACACACCCACACGCGCGTGCGCGCGCGCGCACACACACACACACACACACAATCTAAGTGATGATAAATTGAAAGTGTTTCCTCTAAAGCCAGGAATGAAACAAGGGTGGCCACCATCACTGCTGCTCTAGTGCCGTAAGTATTCTGGTGGTAACAGGAGAAAGAAATAGGTACAAACAGGAAAGGAAAAAAACAGAGTATCTCTGCTTACAGATTTTACAATTAAAAGGCCCCACTGACTCCACCAGAAAAGCCTTCTATTCGAAAAACATTTCCAACAGAGTACCAGGATACAAAATCGGCATACAAAGATCTGTAGCTTTTCCACACACCAATAGCCAACTTGCCAAGAAAGAAATTGAGGTGGAGGAGGGGGTGGGGGAATCCCACTCACATAGCTTTAAAAAAAAATGGGCTGGGGAGATAGCTTCGTTGGGAAACTACTTGCTACTGATTTTGGATCCCTGTCACACACATAAAAATCAGGACACCTCACACATCTGTATTCCCTGTGGTGGGGAGATAGAGACTGACAGCCTCCTGGAGCTTACAGGTCAGCCAGTCCAGCTGAATCAGTGAGATGATTGTTTGTTTGTTTTTGAATCAGTGAGTTTTAAGTTCACTGAGAGACATTATCTCAAAAATAGGGTGGCAAATGACCAAGGAAGATCCGGTTTCACACACAGTTGCACATACAGGCATGCTAATACATACACAAAAAATAGAAATTAATTTAACCTAAAGTAAGCAAAAGACCACTACAGTTAAAACCTTAAAACACTGAAGAAGAAATCAAAGAAGATGCTAGAAGATGTAACTATCCCCTTTGCTCATGGATTGGTAGAATTAATGTTATGAAAAAGCGGGTTTACTATTAAAAGCAGCCCATGGGTTCAATGTAATCCCCATCAAGATTCCAAGTACTTTTCTCAGGACTAGAGAAAACAATCCTAAAATTCTCAGAGAAGTATAGAAGACTCTAAATATCCCAAACAATACTCAGCACAGAGAGCAATGCAGGGGCGGTCACAGTGCCTGATCTCAAATTATGCTACAGGGCCAAATGACAAAAAAAAAACCTACATGGTGTTAACATAGAAGCATACTTGTAGACCAATGGAACAGAAGACCCAATAAACCCAACAGCTGTAGTCGCCTAATTTCTGACAAAGGTGTCAAAAATTCATTGGGAAAAAAATGTCTGCTCTCTCTCTTTCTCTCTCTCTCTCTCTCTCTCTCTCTCTCTCTCTATCTCTCTCTCTCTCTCTCTCGTGTGTGCATGTGTGTGTGTTATATGTGTTATAAGTGCACCTCTACATGCATGAAGAAATCAGAGGAAGAGTCTCCTACCCTGACTTTCTCCACTGTATTCCTTTGTATCAGGTTATCTCACCGAAGTGAAAGATAGGTTGGCAGTCATTAAGCTGTGGAAATCTTTCCTCCAAAGTTCTAGAATTACAGGTGTGTGCCTGGCCACATATGGTTCAACCACAAGTCCTTTCATAGATGGCACTGAAAAATTGGTATCCTCCTATAGTGGGGTGATACGAGGTCCATTTCTCTTGCTAACTCAATTCAAAAGTGATCAAAGACTTTGACATAAGACTCCAAACTCTGACATAGCTGGGGAAAAGCAGAGAAGGACCATGTTGAGATTCAGCATGTGGAAGCAGAATCTGAAAAGGCTTCCAAAAGCACAGGATACAATCCAACTGACAGATAGAAGAACACAAAATAAACTTCTATACAGTCCAGGAAACAATTGCCAGAGGGAAGAAATAGCCGAGGGGCTAGAGACATGGCCCAGTAGTTAAGAGTGCTTGGTACTCTTGAGGACCAGAGCTCAGCCCTCAGTACCTACATTGGGAAACTCCTAAGTACCTATAACTCCAGCTTCAGGGGATCTGATGTCTACTTATGGCCTCCGTGGGCACCTGCAGTTGTGTGCACACAATGCCCAAATATGTATATAATTTAAATAAAAAGCAGCCTATAAAACAGAAAAAATTTGCTAATAATACATCAGATAGGGGATTAATAGCATGACTATATAAAGAACTCCTAAAATGAAACACACAAAAATCCAAGTCATCCAATTAATAACTGACCTAATGAACCCAATAAATAGTTCTCCAAAGAAAAAATAAAAGTGGTCAATATGTATTTGAGAAAGGGTTCAGCATTCTTAGCTCTCAAAAATGCAAACTGAAACTTCACCAGGATTTCAGTTCTCTCCAGTGAGGGGGAACACAGTCAAGAACGCAAATAGCAACACATGCTGGTGGGGATTGGGTAAAGGAGACCCCTAAGCAGTGCTGGTGGGGTTTTGGG